GAGGATGTATGGAACCACGTAGCGTTCCACCAGGCCGCAAGCCAGGCCTCAGCCGCGATTCACGGCTATTTGTCCCTGGACGGGATGTGCGGGAAGGAAAGGGCCGACCAGCTCAGTCCAGGAGCCCTGGGCTGCATATTAAGAGACTCCCGGGCCGTTTATCGCCCGCGGAAGGAAAATGGAGCCGCATCCCAGGCCCGAGCAAAATCTCCGGCCGCAGCGAGCTTAAGCCTGGCTCAGGAGCTGTGTCGGTGTGGGAAGTATGTAATTGAGGGTGGGAAGGAACCTCTTCCAAAATGGTTTAAGTATCCCAGCCTCACGAGCAGGTCGAGAGACCATGAGTTAATAACGCAGCTCTGTGAAGCCCTGGAAAGAGACGGAAAGACAACCAGATGGACTGGTCACAAAAAATGGAAAAAAAGCAGTATTATAAATGTTTTGTTCAAAGAATACATCTCTTTGGTGGGGGAATTCATGGATCTGGGGAAACAACTGAAGGCGGCTGTTGAGGCAACAGCAAAAAATGTGGCCGAACGGCCATTACAAGATGGCGCCGACGGAGATGAGAGTGCGCCAACCCCTGAGCCTGCGTCACCACCCACTCCGGCCACCAAAAACCGCCCTCCCACGGAGACGTCACCAATAGCTCTGCCCAACGACAGCCCGCCTCCTGCAACAGCGCCACCTGCTGTACGCACATCACCGCCTCTGTACATCGACCCACGCCACCAGGAGGATGTACGGGAGAATTGCAATCAGACAAGTTGCAGAAAGTGCAACAAAGTAACCGTAAGCGTGGGAACAGATATGATTAAGGATGAAAATGTAACCGATACGATTATAAGACCACAGTGAACCAGTGAAACCATAAGCATTAATGCAAACAAAGAAACCAAAGAAATTAGTACTGAAGAAGAACTAGTAACTGCATATCCCATTGCAGTACAGAAGTTGGTTACCGACCCTCAAGGGGGAACGAGACTTACTGTAACCACACGATCCAGGACCCGCTCTGAGATGAGCGAGCTAAAAAAGGATACATCAATTAGGAGTGATGAAACACCCATCACTTGGCTAGGACATTTGGTAGCAGAAGCTGGGAGTGAAACAGTAAATCAAGAGGAAGCCTTGCAGCTCGTTCAAAGCTCTGCATGGAGCAGAGCTAAAGTAGTGGACCCGGTCCCTATTTTAGCCAACTACTACTGGCCAATCCCGGTGCCAGCGCTAGCGGTGGAGGCCCTGCAGCGCAAAGTCCACACCTGGCACGAGGGAGCAGCAAGTCGTACCAGCGCAGAGTCACTGGTGTATGCTGTGATCGGGGCATCCTATGCACAGTGGAACCCAGCACAACAGGCTTTAAATCTGACGCCTGCCCAGGTGCAAGGAGCATGGCCGTACCAGTATGCCACCCCACCTGGGGATGTGCCTTGCTTTGCTGAGGCCGTAGAGGCAGCGACCGAGATATATGGGGGAACACACAGTATCACCGCCTGCCTATTATTGAGCACTTCTGTCAATGGCCCCGTAATTCATACCCTGGGCTAATTGGATCAGTTACAGGGGGCTGTGAAGCAAAAAGCACACAAGACAGCATACCCTGTCATTGACAGAGAACACGGAGCCATAGCTGCATACCCGATAAAAGATTCTTCCGTCCATCTTCAATGGGCAGACCAAAAATCCCGAGATCAGATTCACCAACAGCAACTGACCCGGAAACCACCAACGACGAGATATCGACCCCCACATAGCTCACCGCCACCGGCTAGAGCCTCGACGTCAAAGTATTCACTTCCCCAGCAGACGCCATTAGAAAGGGCCGTATTCGGTTTCCTAGTTGTGAAATCTGGCCTTTCAAAGGAGAAGATAAGACAGTTAGGGGATGACGGCCAACAGGACCTGGCAAGGGCCCTAGGATTTCAAGAGTACCACGCAAAACCAAAAAACGAGTAACCGCCGTCGGCGTGAGTCCGGCGTCCGACGGCTGCAATGACCACATTGAGCTAAACGGAAAATGGAAGACGGACTTTGAAACTGACTTAACACAATCTGATCTAAAACGAAGTGAACCTAAATGCAACGAAGCGGAACCAGGCGAACGGATCGAAGTGAGACGACAAAACCTGAAACGATACGATTCTAAGCGAAGCACCACAAAATTAAGTGATTTAAAACTAAACAAACCGAATAAAAACGAAGGGA